CATCTATTTGCGAGAGTAGATGCTGAGCAATTCAGGGATTGCTTAATAAAGCCAATTAGAGTTTCACATTTACTTGGGTGAATTTTGTACTTTAACAACAGTTTATGCAATTATTATAAATCTGCTTTAATTCTTTTGTAGGCCAGTGTTAAAGAACTAAATCCATCCAAATAAATGTGGCTTTATTAAGCTATTTATGGATTTCGGAATTGCATCTAGCATGTAGAGAGATGTTCCCAAGGGCTACATAAAGGAAGAGGTTTTCACAGGCAGGACAAGAAGTCATAAACAGGAAAAGAGAATACTTTGGGTGAAGTCACCTTTAACTAGGGACAAAAATCTTATTAGGTAGATTCCTTTGGGGGATGGAGAAGGCCCATGGGGCACTACCTTATCAACACTTACCAGAAAATTTCCGACTGACTACATTTTTGAGGGAGGTTGAAATTGCAGTTAGGTTTAGGTGTTGAGTCCCTGCTTGGTGACTTGGCCTAGCAGAAGGGACACCACACTAGGCCTATGTCTTTCTTCTTAACACCATATGTATATATATTTCTTCTTCTTGAACTTCAGCTCCTAATGTAAACACATAGCTTGATAAATAAAATGGCAATTTAAAGTCATCCTCAATTTAAAAAATAGGGAAGGAGTTCCTCCAAAGGTATGCAAATGTCCAGTTAGCACATATTAGCTTCAGGGAAATGCAAATCAAAACCACAATGACTACTTACTTCACACCTACTGGGATTACTGCAATGAATAAATCAGATAATATCAAGTGTTGGTGAGAATGTGGAGAATTTGGAACCTTTGTACCCTGCTGGTTAAACAGAGTTGCCATTTGACCCAGCAATTCTAGTTCCAGGTATTTATCCAAGAGAACTGAAAACATATGCCCACAGGAAAATTGTACATGAAGGTTCTTAGCAGCACTATTTACAATAGTCAAAAGGTGAAAGCAGCCCAATCCATCAACCAATGAATGGATAAAATGTGGACTATCCATACAGTGGAATGTTATGTAGTAATGAAGCACTGACACATGCTACAACATGGATGAACCTTGAAAACATTATGCTAAGTGAAAGAAGCCAGACCCCAAAGACAACATGCTATATGATTCCATTCCTGTGAAATGTCCAGAAGAGGGAAATCTACAAAAAAAGAAAAGTGAACTACGAGTTGCTTAGGGCTGGAGAGGATGAGGGGGATCAGAGGGTGACAGCCAAATGGGGCAAGGGTTCTTACTAAAGTTATGAAAATATCCTCAGATTGACTGTGGTGAAGGCCACACAACTCAGTGAACACATGAAACCCACTGAATTGTATGCTTTAAATGGGTGAAAGGCATATGGATTATATTGTAAATAAATATATATACTTGTATTTATACACAAAAAAAACTTAATTGTGAATACCTCTATAGAGTTTAAATGGGAGGAAAAAAAATCATCCACTTAAAATTTAAACCAGCCTTTAAAAAAAAATCATCCCCTCCAACTTTTTAAAAGATGGGACCTTAGTCTATGTCTAAATTTCTCACTTTATAGATGAGGGACTGAAGCTCTGAGAAGTGAAATGACCTGCCCAGTCCTTTAGAGCCCTGGTCTACTGCCCACTAGCCACTATGGCTTCTCTACACTACTTCACGTGAGCTAGAGTGGCAATTCAAACAAAATTAGTAAAGTCACCACTTGGGTCCAGCACTAAGCTCCGAGCCTTGTTATAGAAACACATGGTGTAGGATTAAAGATGGTGGCACGAGAGGTGAGACAGAGGCCTCCTCCCCAAACCACATATAATACAAAAAAATAATTAATACAACTAATCCTGAAAGAGCAACAGGAAAGAAGGCTGTGCCAGACTGCATACACCTGAAGAAAAGAACTGACCTCATGGAACAGGGCACCAGCACCACTCCCCTGTAACCCCCGACATTGCTCCAGGGGCTGAGCAGTTCCAGAGAGTAGAGTTTCTGGGCAATAGAGAGTGCCACACACAACTATGAAACATCAAAAGAACCTGGTTCAAACCAAAATTCCACAAACATCAGAAAAAGGGTCAAATGAAACTGAACTCATCAATTTTCCTGAAAGAGATTTCAAAATAAAAATCATAAACATGCTCATGGAGGTACAGAAAAATATTCAAGAACTCAGGAATGAATTTAGGATGGAGATCCAATCATTGTGGAATACAATGGAGGGTTTTAAAAGCAGATTAGATATGGTGGAGGAGACGATAAATTAAATAGAAATTAGAGAAGAGGAATACAAAGAAGCTGAGGCACAGAGAGAAAAAAGGATCTCTAGGAATGAAAGTATTATAGGGGTACCCAGAAGAAGAATAGAGAGAAAAAGGGATAGAAAGTGTCTTTGAGGAGGTAATTGCTGAAAACTTCCCCAATCTTGGGAAGGAGATAGCCTCTCAGGCCATGGAGGTGCACAGATCTCCCAACACAAGAGACCCAAGGAAGACAACACCAAGACATATAATAATTACAATGGCAAAGATCAAGAATAAGAACCAAGTATTAAAAGCAGTCAGAGAGAGAAAAAAAGATCACATACAAAGAAAAACCCACCAGGCTATCATGGGTTCTCAGCATAAATCCCACAGGCCTGCTCAGCAAGACTTCTCAGCAGAAATCCTACAGGCCAGAAGGGTGTGGCATGATATGTTTCATGCAATGAAGCAGAAGGGCCTCGAACCAAGAATATTCTATCCAGCAAGGTTATCATTTAAATTTGAAGGAGCGATTACACAACTTCCAGATAAGCAAAAGTTGAGAGAATTTACCTCCCACAAACCCTCTCTACAGTATATTTTGGAGGGACTGCTATAGATGGACGTGTTCCTAAAGCTAAATAGCTGTCACCAGAGGTAATAAAACCACAGTAAAGAAAGTAGAACAATTAATTACTAAGTACATGCAAAATTAAATCAACTACCCCCAAAGTCAGTCAAGGGATAGACAAAGAGTACAGAATATCATACCTAATATATAAAGAATGGAGGAGGAAGGAAAAGGAAGAGAAAAAAAAAAACACATGGTATAGTTAGTTTATTGAGAACATATTGACAGGGTATGAGCAGAATGTGGGGTTGGAGACAAGTAGGCCTGGGCTGAAATCCAGCTTTGTGAGCTGGATCAAGCTGTTTACCCTTATGAGCCTCAATAAGTTGTGAATAATAAAGGTATTCTTTGTGAGCACTGAAGAGATATTACACGTAATGTGCGTAACACATAAATGTCAACTTCCAATGTAAGGTGCAGTCAGTCAAGCACATTGAATTTCCCAGGGGTGAACTTCTGTTGGACAGAGTGCACTGTGCCCTGAGCACACATCTGGTAGCAACTCCCCTTTGCGACCCTGACACACTGTCATCTATCCTACAAGGCTGGAAATATTCACAGGAATAGCACACAGAAGCAGGGAACAGAAAACCACCATGCAGAGCCCGGCCTACTCTGTTCTCAGAGAAGCCCACAAGGGGAGGGCTTCTCAGGGTGGGCCAGACCTACAAGACCTAGAAGAGAGAGAGAGAAACAAGTAGATAGAGGGGGAGGTGTTTGGGGTGGGCTGTTGGTACAGCTAAGTCGTGGGAAGGAAGGCAAAGCTGAAAATAACCACTGGTCTCAAAGCTCAGGAAGGGGCTCTCTTTTCTCAAGAAATTCCACTGTGAAAACATTTAAAAGGTCTACTTATTTGTTATATTGTGCACACAAACCTTGTTTACTGTCAAATTATTGTTCATCTATTTTAATTGTTCAGTTGATATATTTTTCTCTTTGTGAAAATTATTTAGACTCAAGGTTAGGACAGATTGCACTGTAACTTTTCTTATTAAAACACTAAGTTCTAAAAATCTGTTTTTAATTTAATGGCTTTGCAACATAGTTGCTGGGTTAAAAGGTCAATTTTTAAATTGGCTTAACTGACCTGCAATCCCATGGCCACCTGCGCTTCTATTCTAGTTACTGACCTGTTTCACCACCGCAGAAGTGGCAGGTCTACCACCGCATAATCAAAGGCAATTAATTTGTAGCAGTTATCTAATTAATATCAGTCCAATGTTCCAAGACACGGTGGAAGTGCGCGATGTAAGATCCCACAGTGTGGGCCCCCTGGTCCTCCACGGATAAGGGCACACGGAGCGCCTGGGTGAGCTCTAGCCACCCAACTGTGGTCTCGGCCGTTGCGGGTCCCCCCAGCGCCCGGGGCTGAGCTCACGGTCTTGCCCCTCGGCCCCGGCCAGCTGCCTCCGCGGCGCCTCCTGTCGTGAGTAATGCCGGGCAGCAAGGGTTAGGGGATGCCGGTGTGAAGTCGGAAGGGACCGCAGTTTTAGGCGGTAGGGGAACCGCTCCCGTGGGTAACGTCGGAGCAGATCCCTGCGGGAAGTGTGGGGCGGAATCACCCGCTCTCGGGAAAGGCGGTCCAGACCGAGATGCTCAGTGAGTGGGGCCATCCCTTGCCAAGGAGAGAGCCGAGTGGGAGAAACTGCTGTGACGGGGGAAACCCTCGGCGGCGTCAAATTTACCTTCACTTGGGCACCTAGGGAACACCCTCCGAGCCTGTCTGCGGGGTCAGGTTCTGCGGTGGCCCGCAATCCTGCCGCGCGAACCAACCTTCCCCACGCAGGACGCAGACCCTGCCCTTTAGACCCGGATCGCGTCTCCTCAAATATTTTCAAGCCGCAACAGGTACTGCGGCTCCTCCCGCTCCCGGTCCCAGTGACTCCGAATCCAGGACCGCGTAAAGCCCGCGGCCTGGCCCGCCCCTCCCCTGCCAGGCCCTGCCCGGCCCTGCCCCCCACCTCAGAGAGCCTCGGCACGAGCCAGAGCACCCTAGCTCCGCCCCCAATGCGCTCCGCCCCGCCTCTTAGTCGTGGGGGTGTTCCCGCCCCTACGGCCGAGACCCTGCCCCTGAGTTAAGATGCCTAGCGTCAACGATTGGGCTGAGTAGGGAGACCTCGTTTCCTAATTGGTCGTAGTGACGACCCGGAAGTGATTCCTGGAGAGTAGGCCGCGTGCATTCCCTGGACTATTAGAGAATTTGTGCTCTTGGCCGCGGCCATGACCAAAATTAAGGCAGATCCAGACGGGCCGGAGACGCAGGTGGAAACGTGCTGCGGGGAGCGCACTTACCATGAGCTGCTGGTCAATCTGAACCCCATCGCCCAGCCCCTGGCTTCTCGGCGCCTCACGCGGAAACTCTACAAATGCATAAAGAAAGGTGCGGCGGGAGCGCGGTGGCCCGTGGGGGCGCGGGCTGCGGGACGCGGTCCCCGACTGACACTTGTATCGTTGCAGCTGTGAAGCAGAAGCAGATTCGGCGCGGGGTGAAGGAGGTTCAGAAATTTATCAACAAAGGCGAGAAAGGGTACGAACTCCCCTCCCACCGAATTTTGTATTTCTAAAGGTAACGGAGGTATCCCTATTTAATAGGTGCTCGGTAAAAGTGCTCAGACCCATATAGAAATCATCAAGAAGTCGGTAATTCCCTTCAGTACAGCTAACTGATCCATCACATCACTTACGCGGGGGAAATGGAAAAAGCCAACTCATTTACCGTGGACCCCAGCTTCATTCAGCGACTGTTTATTGTCTCTTTCAGGCACTGTGCTATGGGGAGACAAATTATTCAATCAAATCACACACAGAATTAAAACTTGATAGATGGTGAAGGAAAGGTGCAGGGTGCAGTGAGAATGACGTTATTCTGTATCACTGGCATTTCTTAGAATCTGAAATAAAATTGCCTTTTTATTCCATCTCTCTGCTCAGGCCACACAGGGATAAAGCCCCATTGCTTTCTCCCCGTAAGTGTCTTGATACATTGTAGGTGCTCAAGAGATAAAATAATGCAGCGGGATCAGGAGGCAAAAGGAAAACGATAGTGTGGATGCAGTACTTGAACCAAGAGCTCTTCCTTGTGTTTGCCCCTCACTCCCTGGAGAACAGACTTCCTTCTGTATCTTCAGGGCTCCTGAGACCCTTGCCTCAGAGCCCTGACATCTTGCTAGTTTGCAGCCCCAGCTGAGTCGTCTCTGGCAAGCCTTCCTTGGTTCCTTATCACAGTCTTGGAACTGAGTCCATACTGCTTAGCTCGTCACTCAAGGCTCTTGGGTGTGGCTTGTCAGTCTCACTAATCTGTATTCCCACCTGGATTCCTGTGTTTTTTGCCATTCTGATTCTCAGCCTTAAATGCCCTCCCTGTCCTGACCCCCTTGATGGGCTGCCTATCATTCAGCTTTATGTTCAAGTGTTGACTCCTGATTCCTTTTTTGACTCTCCAGGGACAGCTGAAATTTTACCCTTTGGTATTCTCCCATACCTCATCTGTCCCAGCACAATACCATGTGGTGGCATTTGGTGCTAAAGAAAGATCACCTCCCCAGAGGAATGCAGTCACCAAACACAAATTTTTGGACACAAGTTTGGGAGACCCACGTTAACAGTTGGCTCCTTGAGGGCAGGGGTCATTTTATCCACCTCTGTACCCTCAAGGCCCAGTCCAGAGGTGGCACTTCAAACTGAAAAAGGGAACAAGCAAACCAGAGACATTTCTCTCATTTCAGGATCATGGTTTTGGCAGGAGACACTTTGCCCATTGAGGTATATTGCCATCTCCCTGTTATGTGTGAGGACCGGAACTTGCCCTATGTCTATATCCCTTCTAAGACGGTAAGGAACACAGGAGCCCCTGGTCTTGGTCAGCACTGGAGGAGGGTTCTGGGATCAGGTTGGCCACAGCAGGCCATAATGGGAAAGAGTGTGGGCAGCTTTGGAGTAAAGACAGGCCAGTGCATTCTTGGCTCAGCTGCTTCCTGTTGAGGGATTCCAGGTAAGTTACCTCTTTGCCCTTCAGTTTTCTTATAAAATGGGAACCTCCTTCTCTGGACATACTCTTGGGAACTCTTAGTTCTGTTAGGTAGGTGCAGGGCTCAGAAGGGGTGTTAGTGACACATAGCTGTCCTTCCTCTCACATAGGAGGAGCCAGGTCTGGAACACAGGAATGGGAGGTGGCAAGGACCTGGAGAGTGTAGGCCCTACCTAAGGACAGCCTCTGCTGAGCAGGAGCCCTTTCATAGTTGCTGTGTGGGAATGCAGGCCTAGTTTGCAGAGTTGAAATGATGGCATGTTAGCTGGGTTAGGCCAGTGGGTCATGGGTTTGACTCCCTGTGCAGTCATTTCACACACAGCCCTTTCCCCTCTTCAGGACCTGGGTGCAGCTGCAGGCTCCAAGCGCCCCACCTGTGTGATAATGGTCAAGCCCCATGAGGAGTACCAGGAGGCCTATGACGAGTGCCTAGAGGAGGTGCAAGCCCTGCCCCCACCCATGTGAAGGACTTAGGCAGACCTGGCCACCTGCCCCAGCAGCTGTTGGCCTGGGCGTGGGCCGGCTGGCTGCCTTCCTGCTCTCCATGCTCATGCATCTCCCCAGTCCTGAGGCATGTATTCTTCCCAGATAGCTCCAGCAGCTATTTATGAAGGCAAAGCCATCATTGTCTCCACCAGTGCTATTTCCTGTTGCGCTTCAATGAAGACAGTTCCAAGGATGTGGTGTGGCAGAAGTAAAATGCTAAGACTAAAATGTGGTGAGTCTGTGGGTGTTTTTTTAAGTAGCAGCTACTGGTGGTGCCAAGGTATTGGTGGGCAAGAAAGAGTGGAAGCAGTCTTTTTCACCAGAGAATCTGAAGGGCTTCAGTGTTCAGTGCTAATGCCTGGCTGGGTACCAGGGCCAGCACTAGACCCAAGCTGAGAACTGACTCTGCCCACCCCCAAGCTTTCACATCCCACTTCCAAGTTGGTGGGAGCCACAGAACAAGGCAGCTGAGCCCAGAGCCTGCTGCCTGGAAGACTGCAGCCCCTATACTGGGAACAGCCCCGTTCCTCTTTTCTTCCCTCATGAGCCTTAAATGCCACTGGAAAGCTTATGCAATTTACTCACCCACATAGTAAACTTTAAATAGGGATATGAAACTAAATACAAAAGCCTAGGCCATCTCTCCTGATTGCATGACACTGGTAACCCAGGCCCTACAACATTTTAGACTTCGGGTGCCTTCTTGTTTCAAAGGCCCAGCACAGGGACTCAGCATACAAAACCACCAAGCTTTCCCTTATAGGCTGAGTCATGTCATCCTAAATCCCCTTTACTGCTTTCTAATAGGAGGTACTAAGGCTTTATATACATGTATGTGAAAGCAGTGTGTTCCCAGGGTCTGACATTTCTCAGCAGGTTGGGTTCTCCCTGACTGGGGCTGTGGCTGCCAGGCTCCCACTGCCAGCAGCAGCCAGGCCATGCCCATTACCTATGTGCAGTGGGTAGTAAGGCAAAGGAGAAGGCCTATGAATGTATTTGCTCAGCTATAAAACATCGGCATTCAATTGCAACCCAGACTATTTACAGTGGAACATGGACACAGTTGGAAAGCTGTACAGTGGCCAGAGTGGACACAGGTGTTGGTGTGGCACTAAGAGGCTTGGCTGAGCGTAGGGATGGAAAGATGTCTGCTGCTGGCCAAGTTCTTTTGCCCCTCTTTGGTTGCTGCAAAGCCAATGGCAAATACAAGCAGAGAAGCTGAGCTGGAGTATAGAGGCCAGCATCTCCTGCCCTCACAGCCAAGGAGCCAGCTGCCCGGTGCTGGTTGGTTCATCTCCCTCCTGGGCTGGTCCGGCCCCTGCCCACACTGATACTCCTCAGCCTGCTGCTCTGAAACAAACCACAATGAACCAAAGCCAAGCACCCCCAGTGAGACAGATCAAGGCGCATGGGTGGAAAACTCTCCACAAAGTTCCTTCTGGGCAAGAATCAGAATATGATACGTTTCCCATCTGCTGGGTTCTGCTCCATGGGACAGTAGGGACACTTCAGCCTGCAAAGGGCGGAAAAGCAAGAACATCTCAGGGCTGGTCAGCAGGAGTGCAAGATCAAGATGGAACAGAGCACTGGGAACTTACTTTCCTCCATTAATGAGCTTATTGAGTGCATCTCGGGAGATAACATGGCCACAGATGAGCTTGATGGGAGGGTTAGAATCTGACGTCTGCTGGCGGAGGATGGGGCACGCGAACACTGAGTGGTACCAGCACTTCATGCCTAGTTCAATCTCAATCTGGGGAGGCCAGAAGAGAACTGAGTCCCACTGCCTGTTCCATCTGTCCTTCCCAGCACCTCCTCCCTGCACCTCCCCTGGCAGGCCTCACCGGTAGCTCATCCTTGTGACTCCAGACCCCTGTACACTGCCTCTGCTCGATCACAGCCTTGATGTTCATCAGCACAGGCAGCGCCACGCAGCCAGAGGCAAAGCTGCAGAACAAAGCAGGGGCTGGAGCAGCCCAGACCAAGAACCCAGCACAGACAAAGGGACTGGCACACCCATCGGCACATGACCGGGGACAGAGTTCTGAAATGGCACATGGTCAAATGGGTCCTTGAAAATCTCTCTGGTTGCTCATCAAGTGCCACATGTGTAGTTATGTGTATCCAACTCTACAGGCATTCTAATGCCCCAAAGTTTGAGAACCTATGGCAAAGACAAAAGGGGCACATAGCTGCTCATCCAAATCACTAAAAAGGTGGTACATGACAACAGTGACCAGCTGAAACTGTAGACAGCCTGCCTGTCTACCTGGCTTTGCTGTCATAACGTACCTCTATCATTGGTTATCAGCTAGGGCACTTAGAAACAGGAGGGGCAGATTCAGATCTCATGATTTGGGCGGGAGTGGAGAGCCAACTGGCTGGAGCCTCCAGTGCTAAGTAACTACGACACACAGGGAAGTCATGCACAACAGACCATCCTGTCTGAGGGGGCCAGTGCTGTTCCCACTGCGAAAGTGTTTTGTACCCGGAGGCCATCGCACAGGGGTGAGGGATGAGATTCCACAATGGGCCTAAACAGTGCACGTGACACTATCCACTGTGGTGCGAGTGGGGCTCTGGGGCCCAGTTCACATGCCCTGTATTCCCTATAAGGCCCTTGGTAAGTTCACGTCTTGAGTCTGTTTTCTCACCTGTAAAATGAGGATAACAGTACCTCTAACTCCAAGGTGGTTGTGAAGTCATGAGAACACTCCTGCAGAGCCTTCCAAGTGAAAGCTTTCCATACCTGTTACTCAGCTGCTCTCAGATCTCCCGAAGGGAGGTGGAGGCTGACAGATGAGGCTGGGAGAAGGCTGGGCTGCAGAGGGTCTTGTTACAATCCCAGGGTGAGGTGCAGGTGACACAGGGCCCTCATCCAAGGGATCTTAGAAAATGGGAACCTTGACTCTGCCACTATCTCATGGTGACCTCAGGCCACAACTCTTCCTAATCTGTTTTTGTAACTGGAAACAAATGCTCCCTATCTGGAAGGATGAGTGAGCCCCAGTTTAGGTTTGTGAAAGCACCAAGTACCATCCCTGGCACATGGCAGGACCTCAGCCAATTACCTCCCTCCAAACCATCCCACCTGTGCCCCCCTCACCACCCTTGCCCAGGGCTGGCCATACCTGACACTCAGGGGGGACTCCACAGAGAGCCCCAGCAGGGAACAAGCATCCCTGGTAAAGGTCTCACAGATCTCGGCCCAGTGGCTGTTGTCCAGCAGGTGGCAGTAGGGCGACTTCTCCAAGCCCAGCCGCAGGTACACCAGACTGCCCATCATCACCTGGATCTCTACAGGGCAGCCAGGTGGGTGCAGGGCTCAGGACGCAGGACAGGGAGCAGGCTGAGCCCTGTGGCTTTCAGGCCCTGACCACACTTGGGACAGGTGGCAGGAGGACTGAAGTGCCCTCAGGCAAAACTGGTTTCCCCAAAAACCAAGTGGGGAGGTGGAGTCTCAGGGCTGCTTATGTGGGACAAGGCCAAGCATCACCATACGGGATCAAGTAGGGAGGTGAGGCTCAGTTCTCTTTCGTCCTTCCGACCTCAGGTTGGCTCATGTGTGTGTATGTGCCAATGCTAGCTAATCTCCCTTTTTAAAAACTTACAGGAGGTATCTAACTAGGATCTAGTAACATTGCTTGGTTCTTGTGATGTTCTTTCCTAAATAGAGTATGAATAAATATGACTGAAGCTAAAGAAGAAAGCTATTAACAGTAGGAGTGGTTAATCTGGAAGGCAAGACTCCGACTGAGTTTTGGGGATTCTAGTGTTAGAAGGAAGCTCCAGAGGGACTGAGTCCTAGGGAAGTAAGCATGGTTCTTGTAGCGGGGATAGGCTGTGCTGAGACAAAGCAGCATGAGGGCATGCATGTCATGGGCACACCCAGGCTTCATGTGCTCAGAGTAGGGGTGCAGCACATGACAGGTGTCAGGGACCAAAGGTGGTCCTGAGATGAAGTGGCAGAGGCAGGTGAGAAAGAGCCTTGAGTTTGGAATTCACCTTGCAGACAATGAGGAAGGCGTCTGAGTTCTCAGGTCAGGGAAAGGATCCCAGTAACACACAGCCACACACGCGGAGGGACTGGCAGCTCCACAACTGGGCCCAGGCTGACACCTGCCAGAGCCGTGCAGCGCCCACCCTGGCACCCTGGGCACTCACCTCGCTGGTGCAGCCGAGCAAAGGGCTGAAAGTGCCGGGCGTAGCTGAGGGCCTCCAGCTGCTTTTCAGGGCCACCTGCCAGGAGGCGGATGAAGTGCAGGCGGTGCAGCTTGAACTCCAGGGAGCTGTTGAGCTCCTGAAGGCGCTGCCTGTGGGAGGTGGCCCATCTGGGAAGAAGGGAAAAGATGAGTAGAGCTGGGGGGCACAAGGAACGGGCCCTGGCAGAGCTGGAACTGAGAGGTAGCTCCAGAAGCCTAGGTGAGCCCTGGAGACAGGGCTGGAGGCATGTCCGGCATACTGGGGCAGGTGAGGACGACAGACAAGCCCTGTCCTCCACTGGCCCACCCAAGAGCCGACTTACTCCAAAGCTGGCCCCAGGTTCTGTTCATGCAAAGCTTCCAGGATTCGATTCAACTCCAGGAATGGCTGCTTGAAGTCCAAGTCCACATTCAGGGTTGATTCCTGTGGGGATAGTGAGATCCCACCACTGGAGGACAATTTCCCCAAATCCTCTGCCCTAACATAATAAAGCCTTATCTGCCAGACCGGCTGGAGAGAGCCAGGTTGGCATGACAGCCACAGTCTCCTGCCAGCCCCCTGGCCCCTCTTACTCCAGTTCTGAGAGGCTGAGTGCTGCATGCTGGCGTCCTAGGATGCAGACCACAAACAGCACCCCAGGTATTAGAGACCCAAAAGCCTGGTGAGAAAATAATTCCTTTTTAGTCCTCAATGTCATTAAAAGGAAGGATGCTTTACTTTGACTACCAGTGTGTCTTTAACACCTGACAAAAAGGGACATTGGACTTCAACTCAGAACCTTGGCTGGCAACCAACTCCAGCAAATTAATGACTTCACTTCTCAACATGTACATTTTTAGAGCCACCTTCTATTTGCGGCAGGGGGAATGATTTCCAGAACCTAATATAAAGAAAACTATCAAGCAGAAAGCAGAACAGGTAGGCCCCAGCCCCTTCCCCAACCAGGCAATACCTGGCACAGCTCCTCGGCGATGCTGAGCATGCCCTGCTGGTACAGGTGCTCCACGATGGCCATCTGCAGGATC